CTAGATTTCCATCAGATACTTATTTGGTCATGGAGATTCTTTTTTTTTTTTTTTAAAGATTTTTATTTATTTATGTGACAGAGAGAGACACAGCGAGAGAGGGAACACAAGCAGGGGGAGTGGGAGAGGGAGAAGCAGGCTCCCTGCAGAGCAGGGAGCCCGATGCGGGACTCGATCCCAGGACCCCGGGATCATGACCTGAGCTGAAGGCAGTCGCTTAACCAACTGAGCCACCCAGGCGCCCGGTCATGGAGATTCTTTAAGAACATTCCACAAATATTTTTGAACATTATGTAGAGCTCTACAAAGATACTGATGAACAACACAGTTCCCTGCCCCCATGGAGCTTACATCTAAAATAAAGATAAAAAAAAATAAAGAAGCAATGATCATAATATGGTATCATATAATAATAACTATGATGTGAAAGGGCTTTGGTGAAGGAAGTACACGGTGTTACGAGACCATACAGAGTAAATCGGGGGCGGGGGGGAGGGAGGGTTGCATGGCAAGGAACACATCCTTTAAAAAATTACAACTAAACTGACATCTAAAGCATAAGCAGGACCTAACCCAGCAAGACAAGTGGCCAGGGAAGAAAAGAGTGGGAACGAGTGTGAGCAGTGTTCTAAGACAAAGACTCAGAGTCAAGAGAAAGAAGTGCATTCAGGAAACCAAGTAGTTCACCCCAGCTGGAATTTATATATACACCATGTGTGCGGAGGGGGAAGGCTGGAATGTCTACAGATGAAGCTGGAGAGGTAGGAAGGGGCCAGATCCCACCGAGTCTTATAATACTCATAACAGAATTTGGGATTTATCCCAAGGGCATTAGAGATCCACTGACTGCCTTTAAGCAGAGGAATCAGGATCATATTTGAATCTCAGAAAGGTACTCTGACCATGGAGTAAAGAATGGATCTATGGATGTGGGCAAGTCGGAAGTAGGATGCCCAGGGTAGGAGGATGTTATAATCCTCAGGAGAGGCAATGGAAGCCTAAGCAAGAAGAATGGAAATGAAGACAGAAAGAAGGAAATGGATCTGAGAGGTATTTCCAAGAGAATATACACAAGACTCTATAATTGTTGCTCAGGTTGAGGGAGAAAGGGGAGGTGAGGGTAACCCCCAGATCTCTGGCTGGACTAGTGGAAGTGGCTAGTGAGGGAAGGAGGAGAAACAGATGAAGGGGTGAAAACAAGGGGTTCAGTTTCATTCCTAAGATTAGTATGTTTGGTGGACACCTAACATGCCTCTGGGTATATGGAGCTGGACTGAGGTTTGAGTCATTAGCACACAGATGGCCATGGGAGACAATGCGTGTATGGAAGGCTCAAGTCTTCTTGGTAGCAGAACTCCCAAGCATCTGTTAGTACTGCTTTAAATGGGGACGCCCCATATCTCAGTCCTTTTTATCACAGCCTTGTAATCCACAAAGTCTATTCTGTTCCATATCTAGGTTCCTGAGAGCATCAGTATCTTTCAGCATACATAGAATCATCTGTCTCCTCCCCAAAAAATCGCAGTTTTGAATCAATTACATTACCCATAGAGCTTACCTTGAGTCCATCATTCTTCACCTTTATTTCTGATCTGGAGAAAGCTATACAAATTTTGTGACATTATCTACCCACATAAAAGCATAAATGGAGAATCCAAAAAAAAAAAAAAAAAAATCAGGACCTTTGGTTTCAGGCAAAATAGCTGAGTTATGTTTTAAGGGGATTTATTTGGGTCATCTGATATTTAATTTAAACTGCATGCTTCCTACTCGCCTTTTAATTAATTCATCTTTTATCTTGCCCTGACATGGTCAGAACTTATTTAGGATCCCTTGTTCCCGAAGATCAAATTGCTTTTCTAAAGTACATTTGGTTTCTAAAACTTGGCATCTCTGAGCTTCTGGTGCCAATACAAAGAGCACATACATATTCCAACAATCCATGGATTGTTGTTAGTGAGCGGCATCGGTCCTGGCCTTTGGGAGGAAGGACACAGCGCATTTCTTCATGGGGGAAGTGATGGAGCTATTATTACTTTCAAGACACCCCTGGTTTGTCCATTCAGAAAGGCACAAGTCAGGCTCTGTGGCCCATTCAAAGGATGAGGCTGTGAAAATGGGTCCCCTGGTGACACTTGGACTGCCAGCCCTTCCCTTGCATCCACTCCGCAGCAGACGGTTCCCAGCCCCCAAGTCTGTTAACCTTGACCTCGCCTGTCACCATGGAAACACAACACTGCCAAGGGAACTTCCTCTGTGATTATCATTCAAACTGTGAAAGAATAGAACAGAAAATAGAATAGGAAAAACACCCGGAAAATTTCATTGCCCATTTCATGTTGCCATTCAGCCTTTTTCTTTAGAACAGAGAAGCTTCCAGCAATTTCTTTGAAAGTTTGGTGTTGGAGTGAAGGGGGTGAGGGTGGGGTGGGAAGGAGGAGTCTGGCCAAGAACTGCTGTGGCAGCCTAATATTTTACCAGCCTCTACTCTGTGTGAGGAGTTAAGTCTGACCTGCAGCATATTACCATACCTGGAATAATTCACAATTGCCCCCCAAAGAATAAAATACCTAGGAAAAAACTTTGCCAAGGAAGTGAATGACCTGTACTCTGAAAACTATAAAACACTGATGAAGGAAATTGAAGATGACACAAACAAATGGAAAGATATCCCATGTGCATGGATTGCAAGAATTAATATTATTAAAATATTCACACTACTTAAAGCAATCTACAGATTCAGTGCAACCCCTATCAAAATACCAATAGTATTTTTCACAGAACTAGAACAAATAATACTCAAATTTGTATGGAACCACAAAAGACCCCAAATAGTCAAAGCAATCTTGAAAAAGAACAAAGCTGGAGGTATCATAATCTCAGATTTCAAGATATACTGAAAAGCTGTAGTCATCAAAACAGTAATCAAACAGGCATAAAAATAGACTCACAGATCAATGGAACAGAATAGAGAGCCCAGAAATAAACCCATGCTTTTGTGGTAAATTAATCTATGACAAAGGAAACAAGATAATAACAGGAGAAAGATAGTATTTTAATAAATGGTGCTGGAAAAACTGGACAGCTACATGCAAAAGAATGAATTTGGACCACTTTCTTATAACATACACAAGAATAAGCTCAAAATGGATTGAAGACCTACATATAAGACCTGAAACTATAAAAATCCTAGAAGAGAGCACAGGTAGTAATGTCTCTGACATTGGTCATAACAACATTTTTCTAGATATGTCTCTTGAGGCAAGGGAAACAAAAGCAAAAATAAAGTATTAGGATATGTCAAAATAAAAAGCTTTCACACTGGGGCACCTGGGTAGCTTAGTTAGTTAGGCATCTGACTCTTGATTTCAGCTCAGGTCATGATCTCATGGGTCCTGAGACTGAGCCCTGCACTGGGCTCTCCACTCAGCGGGGAGTCTGCTTGAGATTCTCTCCCTCTGCCTCTCCCCCTACTCACACTCTCTCTCTCTAAAATAAATAGATACATCTTTTTTTTAAAAAAAGCTTTCTCAGTGAGGGAATCCATCAGCAAAACAAAAAGGCAACCTATTGAACAGGAGGAGATATTTGCAAATGATACACCCAATAAGGGGATTAATACCCAAAATACATAAAGAACTTATACAACTCAACAGCAAAAAATAATCTGATTAAAAAATGGGGAGAGGACTTGAATAGACATTTTTCAAAAGAAGACAGATGGCCAACAGACACATGAAAGGACTCTCAACATTGCTAATCATCAGGAAAATGCAAATCAAAACCACAAGATATCACCTTACACCTGTCAGAATGGTTAAAATCAAAAGGACAAGATATAACAAGTAACTACAGAGGATGCAGAGAAAAAGGAACCCTTCTTCACTGTTGGTGGGAATGTAAATTGGCACAGCCACTATGGAAAACAGTATTAAAAACAGAAATATCATATAATCCAATAACTCCACTACTGGGTATTTATCCAAAGAAAACAAAAACACCAATTGGAAAAGATATATGCACCCCTATGTTTATTGCAGCATTATTTACAACAGCCAAGATGTGGAAGCAGTCTGTGTCCATTGATAGGTGAATGGATAAGGAAGATGTGATGTGTGTGTTTCTGTGTGCATATAATATATATAATATTATGCAGCCATAAAAAACGATGAGACTGTGCCATTTGGAACAACATGGATGGACCTAGAGGGTATTATGCTAAGTGAAATAAGTCAGACTGAGAAAGACAAAGGCCAATGTTTTCACTCATATGTAGGATGAAAAAAATGAATAAACAAACAAAAAGCAGAATCAGACCCATAAATACAGAGAACAAACGGACGGATGCCAGAAGGGAGAGGTATGGGAGGATTGGCAAAATGGGTGAAGGGGGTTGGGAGACACAGGCTTCCCATTATGGAGGGAAGAAGTCATGGGGATGAAAGGCACAGCTCAGAGAATATAGTCAGTGATACTGTAACAACATTGCACGGTGACAGACCACAGCCACACTTGTGAGCACAGCATAACATAGAAGTGGAATCACTGTGGTATACCTGAAACCAATGTAACATTGTGTGTCAGCCATACTCCAAAAAACCAAACCAAAACATAACAAAAACCCAGAAGCCAAATACGTAAATAAATGAAGTACCTAGAATAATGGTGCTATCCTTAATACCATTTGAAATGATTTGGATCTTCACCTGTAGGTTGCTAAGCAAACAACTATCATTATTATTTCCCCACTACCCCCTTGAATTAGGACCAGAACTTGGTAGCAGTAAAAGAGGCCTGATTTCAATTTACAGTAGGATTGCTCACATAGAATTGGAAGGAACCACAGAGATCTAGTTCCAAGCCCATACCTGGAACTGTGGGCAAGATATACTGTGTGTGTGTGTGTGTGTGTGTGTGCATGTGCATGCCCCTTAACTGGGCCCAAAGCTTTCCTCATAAATTCTACATCCAGAAAAACTTAATAAGAACTTACTTGGTCCCGCATCTTCCTTTAACAGACCAGCAATATGAAGTCCAAAGAGATCATGCCCTTCTCTTGCTTACTCTCTTCCTTCTGTTGCTCCTCTTACTCTTCTCTCTGCCTCTTCCACCTTTTTCTCTTCCTAAAGTGACAAAGTTGCATAGTTTGGATTTTGCATTGGCTTGAGTGAATGTTAAACAAGAGTGTTGAGTTCCACAGGTGAGGCCCAGTGCAGACAGAGTGGGAATGAAGTTGGAAGTGCACCTGGACTCACAGGGAAGCTGGAGGATCAAGAAGTAGGCAAATGATTTCAGAAACACACTGGGGTTTTGGTCTCAATGAATGCAGAGGCCCTGGCAATCCAGCAGTCAGGACCTGGCGTGTTCTTAATATGTGTTTCCTTGGCTGCTTGTTGCCTTGCTGAGTGAGTCTTCCCTTCTACCTCCGGGAGTGGAGGAGATCAGCAGCTGCTGAGGCCAGGTGCCCCCAGATTCACCAGGGACAGAATGAGATGGAAACATCTACAAGTTCTAGGAGCTCCTGCTTGAGTTTGACTCTGCCCTCCGAAGAGGAGGAAAGATGTACTTTACTCACCTTGATGAGGTGAACACAGTGTGCTTTCATTTGTGATGTTTTATCATGTGCTGCTGTTTGTTCTAAACCTTGAAGTCTCTCAGCGTGCTGACACGAGGAACACATGCCTTGAGCTTTGGAGTCAGACGCATGTATGTTTTAGTAACTCCAACACTGTTGGCTGGGGCAAGACTCACAACCTCTTTAGCCCTTGGTTTCCGCATGTGCAGAATGGCAGCCACAGTAATGCCCATCTCAAGGGATGGTCACAAAAATTAGAGAAACAAAGGCATATAATGTGTCTGATGTGGAGTCCTAGGTAGTAATGGCTTCCGACTACCTCTCACCCAGCATCGGGCTCTGTTTCAACAACACAGACTGGCTCAGAACGTAGAGAATGCTGGAGGAGATTTTTTGTGCTATTCGCCCTGGACTTAAGAATACAAAACGATATTAAAAAATATTAAAGACTCATTTACTCTTTGCTTTTTGTTGAGCTTCTTAGGTGAATATGAACGAGAGAGACAGCCAGGAAATTTGGTGTCACAACATCCACAGTTAAAAAGCACCTTATGACTTAAGTGAATGGGTAAAGAAGCATTTCCTAATGTTTTCTGACTTGCCATCTCCTTTTATAGTAAAATCTTGCAAACCGTCTTAAGAAGTTTAGCAATTATTTTATCATCTTTACATGATATCTATTAAAATGTTATTTTAAATTGAAAATAGACATATTTTAGATCTATGTTCTAAATTCTTAAGCTAGGTGCTGAGAATATGGGTATTTACTATATTATTATCTACTTTTTTGTATTCTCTAGATATTCCATCATAAGAAAATATTATACTAGTATTTCATTTTTAATAGTTTAGTAATTATTCAAAGAGGAAATTTTTACAGTATTTTCATTTATCAAGTGATATACACTCTTTGATTTATTTTAACTTAATTCTATATGAAAAGGAATAATTTATGGACAAATAATTTTTAATATGACTTTATACCATATTTGACTTTGGGACCAAAAATATATTAAAATGAAATGAAGCCTAACTATATGTTCTAGAACCAACAGTTGCTTTCATAACTTGAGGGTTGAAATGTCTCTTTGGAGCTTACAAAAAAATCAACTGGTATCCTTTTTTTAGATATACATAATTTTCAGGTTTTGTTTCTAAAGTATAAGATGAGGGAGACTGTTTCAGGCTTTCACTTGCAAGCATTTCTCCACAAACAACTCATTGCAGTTGTGGACAGGCTTTATTCTCAATAGATGGAAAGTCGAACTGCATATAATCACAGCTATGTTTTATATTTTAAACACTGTTAATCTACAGTGACTTCCTGATGTCTGATATGAGAACTCTGAAAGCTATCTGTGGGTCTAGTGGGAGCATCTTGGGACATATTTAAAAAATTATTATCACTTTTGTATTTCCCTTTGACTTTCTGTATTTCAACAGTGGAATTCCTCACAAATTAAACAATGGATGACTAAGAGGAGAAGCAATATAAAACGGTATATGGGTCAAAAATATCGTGGCAGCTACAGGGGTTCAGTGTGGGATAAATATCTGAGTGAGTCATGAAAGCCTTCATCGGATGTCCCCATGTCCTATGTGCTCAGGGACATAGGGCCCAACAATGACATGAGCCCCCTTTAAATTCTTTTCCAGGTACTGGACTTATGTCCCTTCTATTCTAGACTCTGGGCATTGGGAGAGATTTTACTCCTCTTCTTATCTCCAATGGCATCTAGGTCAAGTGTGGCATGGGGTGGACATTCCAGAAGTGTTAGAGATTTAATGGACTTGAATGATTCCACTGAGTGGTGGATCAGACAATAGATGTAGGGGAGGCGAGAGTTACGCATCAGAATCAGTGATGATCTGGAACTAGAATAATAGAAGGCTGGTGTTGCCACTATCAGGCATGGGAATCAGAAGGGACACTCAGGTATCTGGCAGGTACCTGACAGTAGACCCACCCCCACAGGAGGAGGACAGAAGCCAGGGCACCTGATCCGGCTGCAATGCCGAAAGAGATAGCTCTGTCTGTCCAACAAGTATCGTTCCTAAGGGACATGATGGTAACTGTTCACTGATAAGGAAAGAGTGAAGCTGAAGGAATGGGCTGTGCCTCACCCGACAGGTGGACCACACTGACCAGAGGTCAGGGATTGCTCCTGAGTCTAGCAGTTGACTAGTAAAAAAGTACGATTCAGGGACCAATATTCAGGCCTTGGGAGGGAGGTTGGTAAAAGCAAGACAAGGGTTTGAATTGAAGAGTGGAGAAGCCCAGTTTACTGGTTGCAAGACTAACAATGCTGAGCTACCGGGAGCCGATTGACCAGAGAGGCTCACCAATTCCTGGAAGTGTGGGTGGGGCTGGACCTACAGGGAGCCTCAGCAGGGACAAGAGAGGAGGGAGACAGAGGCTGGGAACAAGGCGGGCTCAAATGAGAGTTCTCTGTGGTGGTTCTTGCCTTGTTTTTCCTGAGGCCAATCATTTTACCTGATGCGTGAATAACTTTTTGAACTTATTCTGTATTTTAAAACAAATTATTTAGTGAGTGTGTTATAGACTGAAGGCCAACTGGTATTGCAATAAAAGTTTATGCTGAGGATAAAAGACTTCTAAGACGTAGGTAAATGATACATGTACATCAATTTATATCCTAAGCAGTTAGGCTTCATAAACTACTTTTTGTTTTGCATATTGTGAAGCTATTCTGTTAGGTGCATACAAGTTTATAATTACTGTATCTGCATGACAAATTGTTCCATTTATCATGAGGTCATGACCTTTCTTCATCCCTTACAATTATTTTCACCTTAGAATCTATTTTCTTCTGATGGAAATGGAGCTATAACACTTGCTTTTAATTCATGGTTTTTTGGGGTAACTTACTCTGCTGTTGGAGTTTGAACGTGTCTGTATCCTCATATTTTAAGTGTGTTTCTTGTAAACATCACATAGCTGACAAACTGACATTTTGTTTTTTCAACAAAATTTTATTTCATTTACACTGACTGTGATTATGGAGGTATATGAATTCATCTCCATCATCTTACTTTGTGCTTATATTAGTTATTCATCCTGCTTTGTGTATTTTTATCCCCTTCTAATTTCATTTGGATTGATGAACATTTTTTAGTTAATGTTTTCTTCAAGAGATTTGGAAGCCATCTATTTTACTTCCTTAAAAATAACCCTTACCTAAGTTTTTACCCTCTTGCCATAAAAATACAAAGACCTTAGAAATTGTAATTCCATTCGCTCTCCTTTGCTTACATCATTTTTATACCCTCAAATTAGGCACTGTCATTGTATTGTTTTATTCAGTATCTGAACAGACTTTTTCACGTTGGTACTGGTTCCGTTGTTTACTATTCTTCCTGGTGTTTCACTTCCATTCTTATCATTGAAATTTCTTCTTCCTGAGGTTCAGTCTTTAGTAGAAGTTCCTCCAGTGAGACTCTCCTTCAGTGATAAACTGTTTTTCTGATTGCACAAAAATGTCTTTGCTCTTCTTCTTAAGTAATAGTTTAGCAAAGGATGAGGTTATATGTGGATAGTTACTTGCTGTCAGCACACTGAAGATATCATCTCTTGCATTTATTATAATGGGTTTACATGCATTGAATTGGATCCCCATGTTCACTAATTGACTACAATTCAAAATAAGGATTTTTTAAAAATCAATCTACTATTGCCTACACTGTAATGGAATCCAAATTTATGTTTAATATAACAAATCTATTAAAATTATAACTAATAACCCTCATCCTTTAAAAAAAAAGGCTTTGAATCGCCTATTCAAATCTGGGAGATTCTTCATGGACATATTTCAAGAATTTAGTGAGGAAGATACAGACTTACATACCTCTAAGAGAAGGGAAGCTCTTTCATGAACATTTTCCTTGAAACTTCCAATCTTGGAAAAGTAGAAGCAGCATAGGAGAAGGACACTGTCAAATATCAGCTTGCACTAATAAATAAATTTGGTATAGATTTTCAACAAGTGCTTAGAATTAGCAAAAAAAGTATTTAAGACAAGTTTAAAACTGTAGTAACAATTCTGTACAGGCTTAATATACTTTCCATTTTTCATATATATTTTTTTCTTTTTTTGTTATGCCAGAGGGGAAGAATTCACCATTTTTCTCTTTACAAACACTGTTTGTTAACTGACTGTAATTGTCAAATAACAAATGTAACAGAGTCAAATATGTATTTGATTTATTAACCCAGGTGGTTCCTTCTTAAAGAGAAATAGACTTGTTGCCCGTGGTTTGTGGCATGAAGCCCACTTCAAAGGGTAAAGTTCACGTTCTTCCTTTTACTATTTTTCCTTCCTTCTGTCTTTCTTTCCTTACTTCTTTGCTGTTGTTGTTGTTTTAGAGACAGTAGATGTGATTCACCTTTTGTTTAAAAACACAAACTGAAAAAAACCTCTGTGCGTGTTGGGCTTTTTATAGCTTTTAATTCTACTTCACTTAATGTAATGAAACTTTTTCATATCTGCTAAAATATGAAGTCCAATAGCTGATGCAAAGGAAGAACAAAGCAGTGGATGTTCAGGTAAAAGCTAGGGGAGATGGAGGTTTCACAAAGTATGTTAATCACATGGCAAGTGAATTGTACATTAACTAAGAGAGGAGACTCCTGCTCTCTCATTCCTTGTATTCAGTTCAGGACTGGGACTCCATCCTGAAACCTCATGAGTCCACTTTTTATTCATTTTTCCCTTTTTATGTCCACGGTCATTATTGTGGTTAACATCCTCTCTGTAACTTGCTTAAACCTAAGTTTGCTGCTTTTTGACCGGCTCTCCCTATTGACCTAAAATACACCTGACCAAATCACACTCCTGCTTAAAATCCTTGGTTATATTATTATTTTTCTACCTTTCAAGTGTCTGACACATAGTGTTTAGTAAATAAATGTGTGTGTTTTTTTAAACGAGATAAATAAGAAAAAGGAAACAAGAAGTAATGGAGAGATTAGTACATTAACTCACTTAGTGAATATTTGAATTATGTGTCCAGCACTGTGCTTGGTGTTCACAAGGGTGAACACAATATACGTAGGGCTCCTGTTGTGGGTAGGTTCAGTCTCACTCATTCCATCTAAATAAGTAAACAGCTAAAATGCCCAGGCACTGACTATGGATCGGGTATTGTACCAAGTGTTCTCCTTTGGTCTTCACAACCACCCACAATGAGCCAGGCTAAAAGTGCCCATTTTGTTCAGGATACAACTGGGGTATGACAAGGTTAAGTAACAAGAGATGGAGCTAGGATTAGAAACTTGACAGACAGACCAGAACTCTTTTCGTAACTCAAACCCATAGTGTACAGTCATCGTCTGGTTCATTAGAACACACCTATGATTCCTGCAGTGATAAGGGAATGCTATCTGGCAGAGGAAATCACCCAGGGTCTGACTGCAGAGAACTGACTTCCAGAGTCAGGCCTGGCTACAGTCAGCACTGGATTTTCGGAAGCCTCCAGAATTCCTGGTACATCATAAGAAGGGGATTCATTTCTGTATCCCTTAGCCCTCTGCGTAAAGCATGTTGACCAAGTTTGTTCTTAGTCCAGGGATTTCAGCTAAGAATTTATCCAACTACCTATTTTCCATTTTTTTAATCGTTAAGATTCTGGTTTTAATAACTTATTGTATTTGTACCCTTAAAATTTTTATTAATCATTTTCATATTTTTAAAATGTCTTAATAGTCATTATCCTTAATACTTTTTATTGTTCACTTAATTTTTTACTATCTTTTAATTAAACTTTTAAAGATATTTTTACTTTCCACTTCATTTTTCAAGTTTGCTTCCTTTTTACTCTTCTCTACCATGTCCCCAACTTCATTTAACTTTATTCTTTTAGTAAAGGTGACTAATTAAACGTGGTTAAATGTTATGCCTTTTTAAGACTTTAAAATCAACTCTTGCATAAATCAGGGAAAACGACCTTGTGGAGAATAAGTCCCAGGACATGCTTCTGGAGATGGCTTATGATGAGCCAGTTCAGAAAGCGAAGATCGAAGATCGCGTGGGCTGAGCTGGGCAGGGCTCTGTGTGTGAGGTAGGGTGTGAGTCCTGAGCGGGTGTGTCAGGAAACCAGGCTCTTGTCTCAGTTCTTTCACTAGCTGCCCTTGTGACCCTTGGCAGACCCCTTCCCTGCTCTTCTCAGCAGTAGCAGGAAAGGGCTGAAATAAATCATTTCCAAATGGGCCTTTCCAGCTTTGTTTGGTATTGTGTGTGTCCTATGATTCGGATGGCCGTGGATTAGCGGAACAAAGCCGAGCATTTTGATGGAGCCCTATTAAAGTGGCATATCAAATTATCAAAACACTGCTTTTTATTACTTAATAATGTTCTCAGAAGAAATCCTTGGTGTATCCCTGACCCTGTGCCTAAGCCTTGCCCTGTTCCTCAGCCTGTGAACCCCACCAAAGTATCCCTGTGATCAAAATGGCAATGTCAAAATAGCATGAACACTTTGCAGAAGGGCTTTAGATTCTGGGCACAACTGCTCACTTATCCCTTAGCTGTGTGGTCTTCGGAATGAGACTTCTCAGCCTTGGTTTCCTCATCTGTAAAGTAAATTATAGTCTTGACGCTGAAGACATTAAGCTTCGAAATAAAATGTGTAAAGAGCCCATGCATGCTTCATCACATATAGAAAGGAAATAAAGCTTGAGGTAGTTTAATGGTCCCAAAAGAACTTTCTAAAAGAAAATCATCTGTGTTTCACTAAAAAGTTTTTAAATCATTTCTAGGTTTCTAGGTTAGGAGCGTCTTGGGTTTCAGAAGGGCTGATGGCCCCGTAGACTGGGAAGAGACCAAGGGCTCAAGTGGGAAGGAAAAGCAGAGATCAGACAGTCAGACAGTCTGAACATGTACTGAACAACTTATCAGATGTACAAAGAGAAGGGAATGTTTATGAAAAACAAGCCCCCACATCTCCCTTACTCCTATGCCCAGATCAGAGCCCTTGTGTCTGAGTCAGAGCTGAAAATCAGCTTTTAGAAGTGTTATTGCTCACAGGGGGCAAGTACTGGTATGATACAGCAACATTACTCTTGAGCTCTGTGGCGTCTTGACCTTGTCTGGCTTAGAGGAATCTCAGCGAGACTCATCTGTGGCTTTATGTAGTGACCAAATTGGCTAAAAGGCCCAAAGATGAAACATATGTTGCTCTGGCAGGAAGTTTTGGAACACTTGGTGAACTTCTTGAGAAATAAGATAATCTTGTAAAATTGGGTTGTCTAGTTGCTGAATTCCTGAGGCAAAGTAAACAACGAGAGTACTGAGGCATGCGTGTTGGGGGAGTGTGGGTTGAAGCTGGCTGGATGATGATGATGATGATGGTGATGATGATGTCTTGAGAATCACAAAGAGAAAGAATGCATTCAGGTTCTAGAAAATTGTCTATATTCTCAATTTTGGTATGGCTCTCTACCCCCAAGAGAAAGCTTTACCTGGAAAACTATCTCACTTTGAATTTTCATTCTTTTGAAAAAAATAAATTATTATTTAGTGTAATTGCAGAGTTTACAGTTACCTACATAATACAATTTATGTTGTCAATATCACCAGCATTAATGCTTGAGCTTACTTTTCCATTACTAGAAAAAGTGTTATTGTGACATTAATAATAGTGAGAATTAATAGTCATTTATATGAACTTTTGCTTATGAGGAAAGGTTTTTAAATTGAGTGTGCTTACATATTAGTAGATGAGTGTACAGGAGTAGAACAGGTCTGGGGAGGTGGATGTAGGTGGGGGAGTAGCACTTGATGGATTCCATTTTGAACGGATTACACTGGAGTTGCCCACCAGACATTCAGGAGAATCTGGGTCTGGTAGCCCGCTGAGTTCTTGATTTGGGGGTCTATTTGTAGGTTGAAGTAAAATAACTAGTGGTGAGGAGCAGATTAAAGACACAAAGGAAAACAAAAAAAGACACAACGAGAGGGCACTGCGACTCTGGGATGCAGGTTTCTTACCTGGGAGCAAAGTCCCATGAGTCACTTGGTTCCTCTTGACCCTCTTTTCAACACTCGGTGAATTCGAATGCTACATAACAAATTACAAATTGAGCACTTAACACAGCATTACACTTCTCATAATGAACACTAAGTAAGCATTGTCATATCATTATATTGTACACCTGAAATTAATATAATTAACAATCACATTAATATTAATTAATATTATTAAGAATAATTAAGAATATGTTATAAATTAATATAACCCTGTATGTTAATTATGCTTCAATTAAAAAAATAAAGCAATTATTGATAGGTTAAAAAAAAACAAACTTATTATCTAAGAGTTCCTGTGGGTCAGGCATCCAGGCACAGCCTAGGTGGGTCCCCTACTCAGGGTGTCACAAGGCTGAAATCAAGATGTCACTCAGACCACAATCTTATCTGAGACTTGGCTTCTCTTAGGAGCTCACTAGCTGTTGGCACTGATGGCAGAGTGTAGTTTCTGATTAGGTCAGGCCCACCCAGGATAATCTCTTCTGATTAGTTTAGGGGCCTTCATCACATCTGTGAAAACCCTTCAACTTGGCCATATAGTGTAACCTAATCATGAGAGTAGGGAGTGATATTGTATCATATTCACAGGCCTGCCTACACTCAAGCGGAGGTGATTACACAGAGTATGCATATTAGGAGTTGAGAACCTTGGAGGTTATCTTAGAATTCTGTCCACCACAAAGGCCATGGATATATTCATTTACAGAACAACTAGTTTTTGAGCACCTACAATTTGTCAAGTGTTTTTTTTTTTTTAAAGATTTTTTATTTATTTGACAGAGAGAGACACAGCGAGAGAGGGAACACAAGCAGGGGGAGTGGGAGAGGGAGAAGCAGGCTTCCCGCTGAGCAGGGAGCCGGATGCGGGGCTCGATCCCAGGACCCTGGGACCATGACCTGAGCCGAAGGCAGACGCTTAACGACTGAGCCACCCAGGCGCCCCTTGTCAAGTGTTTTTATGGTATCTTTGAAGACGATAAATACTTTTTAAAAACTAGAGCAGAATAAGCAGAATTTGGACTGCTAGAAGTTAGCATGGCAAGCGGCTGTTTTAAGTGAGGTGGTAAGCCCTGGCTTCATGAAGAAAGTAACACGTAAGCCAAGGACTCCTTATAAGAACCACAGCTTTCCCTATGCCCAGAGGTCTTCAGATGTTTCTCCCAATTTATTTTCCTTTAATCCTTAATCTTCTTTTGTAGAACTAATGAAATAAATTAAAAAATTCTACATTGCATTTTATTACATTTAAATTAAGACTCTACAAAACAAAGTGAGCCAGAAGGCAAAATCTTATAAGCCAAAAGAAACCAGGGAAACCCCTGATGTTTCAAAGGGGCTCGAAAGGCAGAAATCTGTTGTTCAAAAAAGAATCCAACATGCTCACATTTGGGCCCATCAGTGAATCCATATGACACTGGGCCTGCGATTTATTCATTCATCCCATATAATATACTAAGAATTTGTTATATGCAAGGCTTCATGCTAAGCATGGAGATCTTAAAGATAAGTAAGGTATAATCCCTGACTTTGAAGAATTTACAGTAGAATGAGACACAGAATCTTGTGTAGATAATTTCAATTATGGCATACCATCAGGAATATCAACAGCTAGTAATTATGCAGAGAAAACACCCTCCCTAGGGTATCTCAGCAGGGACCATGAAATCAAAACCTGTAACAAGTTCTAGATGAGCTTTCTAAAATGTGGCCTAAGATGATTTTGACAGGTGTATAGTATTCTACAGACCCAGGATGGGAGTGATAAGTAGTCATGTTTACCCACAAATGGCTCCCTTGGGCTGAGCCTGGGGAGACGAAATGGTAAGCCAATGTTGTGACTTGACCAGAGAACACAGGCGGGAAGAGCAACCGGATTATTCAGCACTGATAGGGCAGTGTTTATCTAACAGCTGTACAACAACCGTTCTACCAGAAAACTAGGGAAACAGTAGCCTCGTAATCAGTCTCCAGCGTGTTCTGTCACAGGTACTACATGAGAACCGTGTTGTCGAAGCTCTTGTCTGCTCTGGATCTTAACGCACCAATCCTGGCATGGCTGATGGTGCTGCATCCATGCAGGGATGAGGCTGCTCAAGTGCCCTTGTATTTGCTGGCGACTGCTGGGGGACAAACGATCCTAAAGTTGAGTGGCTTGAAACAATAGCCATTTGTTTACCTCAAATTCTGTAGATTGAGCTCACTTGGACAGTCTTCTTGTCTAGGCCAAGCCTGGCCTGGTCTCAGCTGGGTTTACTCATGGGCTAGTGGTCAGCTGGTGGGTCAGCTGGGGCTACTGGTTTATGATGGCTTTGTCTCAAACAGCTGGGTTGACTGAGACCTCTCCCCACACGGTCTCCCCACTCCCAGGCTCCATTTGCAAGATGGCCAAAGGTGCAAGAGCAACAAGCACATAGGAACTTAATATTTTTGCTATATTAATGGCATTGATGATTTGGGTGCCCGTTAGTCAATTTTCTATATAACAGCTCATTCCCCTGGGTTAATGCAGAAGTGACATTTCACCGCACTATTTCTTAAAAGCTAAGCACAATCCAGTGACACGCTTGTTTTGTTTTTCCAAAGGTAGGAGACATAGGAAAGATTAAAACTCCAGGCCAAAGAGTGATTCATTTGGCATTCTTTTTGAGCATCCTGATGGCAGAAAAGTTTACAGAGCACGTTGCACTGGGCACAGGAATAGAGCTACATAGTGCTAGCCCCACAGAGATGTCAGTCTGAAGATAGAGGGGGCCTGGAGTCTGTCCAGCTGGGAAGGGCTTTTCCTCATACAGGGGTGTATGACCACCGACCTGCCCAGAGAGCTTCAAAAGTCCCTCTCTTTAGCCTTCCCTTTGCGTGACTCTCCCCTGCCTCCCCCATTAGCCCCTGCAAGACATACTAATGGAGGTTAAGTGATCATCTCACATAAAGGTAAACCGCCATAAAGGTCACAGGTCATCTTCCAATGCTCTGGATTATCCTGAGATAAATGAGAATTTGCTGGATATAAAAAAATTTCCAGTAGAGGGGTACCTGGGTGGCTCAGTCGTTAAGCGTCTGCCTTCAGCTCAGGACCGTGGGATCGAGCCCCACGTCGGGCTCCCTGCTTGGCAGGAAGCCTGTTCTCCCTCTCCACTCCCCCTGCTTGTGTTCCCTCTCTCACTGTGTCTCTGTCAAATAAATAAATAAAATATTTTTAAAAAAATTTCTGGTAGTTTCAGGGAGCTACTAAATTAGCCCTGATTCCATATGAAGTGAACATATTTTATTCACCAGAAAATCCCATCCAGATGTTATTTTGTTTGATAGTAGTTGGCTCAACAGTATTTACCAAATACCCTCACGCCTGGCACTGTGCTGGGAGCTGGGAATGCAGACATAGCCCTGGCCTCACGGAATTGAGGGTCTCACAGAAGATGCATTGAACAAGCATTAAAATTACCACGATGGCTATGAAAAACTATCAGCTGTCATGAGAACATAAGGAGGGGTCTCAATTCCTCTCCGGGAATCAGGGCAAGTTTCCCCAAGGAATAGTAGTTTCATCTGAGAGCCAAAGGGGAAGTAAGAATTTGTCAGGTGCAAGGGGTGGTGGGAATAGAGCACCACATTCCCTGCAGAAGGAGGAACATGTGGGAACACCCAGAGTCTGGGCCCTCTGAGAACTGGAGGAAAGCTGGCTGGAACAAAGAGAAGGCTAGGCAAGCAGCACAGAGGGATGGGCGGGTGCCCGCAAGCCACACGAAAGGTTTCACTTCTAGTTACTGTTGTGGTCACTGTTGTTATTATTAAGTCCTTCCTTCATTTACAAGTCAATTGCTTTTCAAAGGATATTTTCATCCTATTTCTTTTTTTTTTTTCAAATTATATATATTTTTTATTCTTATGTTAATCCCCATACATTACATCATTAGTTTTAGATGAAGTGTTCCATGATTCATTGTTTGTGCATAACACCCAGTGCTC